TTTTAATCTGTTTTTGCCCACTTTGGTTGGTAGGTTCGTGTTTTTGGGTTGGATCAACCTGACCCAATCCAATAAAAAAAAAAAAAACTAAAAAGGTTAAAAAAAAAAGTAAAAAAAAAAAAATCAAAAGTTATCTCTTTTATTTCAATTTCGCACAATCCTTTTCAAATCAGTCCTTTATTTTTTATTTTAATCAAATCAGTCCATTTAATTTTTATTTGTGTTTATTGTGCATGCATGTTCTTGATTGTCTATTTCAGTCCAAAAATAAAAAAATGTTTTGATTCGGTTTATCTCTTTTTTTCAAGTTTGCTTTTGAAGACTCAAACATAAATATAATAAATAAGTTGAATTAAAACCTCAATTTTAAAGTATGCAACCGTGTTTAAACGGAGGATTGTGAGGTGCGCGTATGCCTTTCCTCACTCCTAATCGAACCCTCGAACCCCGATCTTTGCGCAGACCCATTTTATGTGACTTGTCCCACTTTATAATTTGGACGAGTGGCGACTCCATTTTCTTTTATATTTTCACACTTGATTTTTCATTGTTTTGAAAAAATCTTAAGTGGTCGTCAACAGATTGGTGACTCCACTGGGGAAAGAACCCAGAATCTCTGGTTTCCATATTCTGGGTTCACGAGGGTTGAGCTAATGCTTTAACCTTGGGGAATTTTCAACCTTTGATTTTTTCTGTGTTTGTTGAGTCTTTGTGGGTCTTTGTTATTTATTGTATGTGCTTGTCGTGTGTTGCTTGTTGTTTGTTTGCTCAAAGTTTTAGTGGTTGCTTTGATTGTTTTGCCTTTGAGTAGTTACTTGCTACATCTTGACATGCATCATACCTTGCTAACATGTCCATGCATCATATCATCTCACATGCTCATCCATCATCAATATAACATGCTTATTCATCATGCATCATGCCTATATGCCGACTTGTTTGTGTGTGGATATTCATTAAGTGTTGGTTGCTTTGTGTTACTAACCTTTTGCATTTGGCATGGGAGTACTAGGTAAGTCCCTTCCTTCTGTGTAAGTAGGTTTGTTTGTGGGTGGTATATTTGTTGAGTGCTTTATATGCTTTATTTGATTGTCATGGGATATATGTTGTTGTTTTTGTGGTTGCCATTGTGCAGGTTATTAGAGTGTCATGCCCCTTGCACACACTCACTCTCATTTTGCATTAGGTCCATGTCGAAGGTGAACTCGACCTCTAGTCTGGAATCCTTATGAATCTGGCTTGGAAGAGCAATTCTTCTCGCTTTGAGGAGTAAGATTGGTTCCCGTTAGGTTGTTTCCATTGGCTAATACGACACTTGATGATGTAATATCATTTTGTATATTAGCTTTTGGAAATATCTCCCGTTGATTCCGAAAGGATAAATGGTTGAGAAGGCCTAATGCTCTTTAGGAAAACGTGTATTGGCTTTAAAGAGATACCAACCCTAGGACATGTTTCCCTTAGCATCCCACCCGTAAGGTTAGGGATCTCGTGTCTAAAACACAAGGGGAATTTTTTTCACTAACTTTTTCTCCGCACATGACAGGTTTTTTGTTCTTATATGCATCTAAGGTATGATTAGTTATTCATCTTTTGCATTTAGACATCATTCTTGAGGTAAGGAGCATTCCATGCACTTGGTATCTTCACTTTCAACCCCGTGCATCAACAAAAAAAAAAAAAGGTAAAAAAAAAAGAAGGAAAAGTTCATGATTGTTTCACATGTCATATGTCCATCCTACTCATTTCACATTAAATCTTCCATATGTCTTGAAAACTTCACATATCATATGTCCATTGTATCGCATTTTCCATCTCATGCATTGCAAAATATATTTTCATATTCATCACATGTGACATTCTCCATTTTGTTCATTGTACATTTCATTTTTCATCTCATATTTCAAAAAAAAAAAAAATAACTGCAAAAAGTAAAATTCCACCCATGTTTAGTACATTACATGTTCCATCTCATATAAAAATTGCAAAAAAAAAATCCCATTCACATGCATTTCAAATTGCATTTTCTATCTCAAATTTTCATTCCAAGCATTATTATCTCCATCTCATGATTCTCATATTTCATAAAAGTTGCATAAAGAAATTAAAAATGGTGAAAAATGAAAAAAAATGAAAATTTTATCCATAGTGCTAGTTTTCCGCTCATATTTCTTCATCTTTTTACATTTCGAAAAAACAAAAAAAAAAAAAAAAGGGGGGGGGGGGGGGGGGAATAAAATCAAAAAAAAAAAGGGGATCTAGAACCTTCTCCTTCCCCATCAATCTTTCCTCTCTTCTGCAACCGAGCCAGCCTACCCCTCTGCACCGCGCCCAGCCTTGCACTCCCACGCCTGCTCAGCACCCCTAGCTCCTACGCCCCTGTCCCTTTGCACGCCAGCATCACTGGCAATCATACCCCCTCTGCACTGAGCCTGCGGGCAATCATGCACTCCAGCACCCCCTGCTTTGCGCCTCTGCCGCCTACACCGAGCCTACACCCCTGCTGCTGCACCACCTTGCTGCGCCTCCTGCACTCTGCGCCCAATCCCGCGCATCTGCACCGCTGATTGCTGCAGCCCTATCCTTGTCTTACATGCAGAAAAGACAAGGAATACCGGACAAATTGGCATCATTGATTGACAGAGCAAGGCCCTTGTCTTTTGTTGCATTTTATTTTTTATTTTTATCATTTGGGGTATATATTTAGGGCAAAAGCAGAGTAATCGGGAGGGGGGGATGGTTGGTTGATTTTGGGTCTCTTTGTTGGGGAGTTTCGTCTGAGTTTTGAGAGCAATAGAAGGGGATTTATTGGAGAAGAAAGGGGGCAACAACGGTGGTTGAGAGGAAGGATCACCGAGCTTCCAGAGGAGCTTCATTTTTGGTTTCATTTTCTAGGTTTCATTGCCTTAGGTAATTTCTGAACAGAGGAATTTTTGGGAAGAGCCGTGAGGGAGAAGAAGGGAGCTTGATCCCGTGGGTGGGATCCCTCCCTTTGGATCTCAATCTGCTTTTTTCCAGAAATTTCACCTTGTTTGATTCTAATTCTCATAGAGTTTTGCTTTATTAAAACTGTACTAGATGATGATACTGCAAATGAAATCAAGCATGTTTGTTGAATTTCATGGATCCGAATTGGAATGGATGTTTACTTGCTTTTCTTTGTTCTGTTTTGTTGGGTGGCTGAATAGAAAATCCAGATCCTTTCTGTTTTTGTCCAGATTTCATTTCGGTCTAGGTTTTAATCTGTTTTTGCCCACTTTGGTTGGTAGGTTCGTGTTTTTGGGTTGGATCAACCTGACCCAATCCAATAAAAAAA